TAGCTGTCATTTTCTCTCATAATGCCCCCCCCCTTTCAAAATCTATTCTATAAAAGAGCCTGACATTATTTCTTTTTTTCATAGCAACTAAAGTAAATTTAAAAAATTCCAAATTAATACAATTGGTAATGTTTATTTAACCCCGATTCTCTCATTGCATTTAGCTAGCACTTCAGCAAATGTAAAGAAGTAAGATGGCATGAACTGCTTTATGAGTTCGTAGCATTTAATATATGAATCATATAATAAAACAATTATTGCTGTTTTTTTCAGTCAATACGATTATTTTGCCACCTTCAAGGTACAATATTCACTTCGCCCTTCGGGATCGGTGACTATTGTATTCCTCAGGTGCCTATATCATCGTATTGACCTCAAAAACAGCAATAATTGTATAATACATAAGCATGCAAAATAGAGTTCATACTACATGTAAATATGCATATGCATACCGAAGGAAGTTTTACTTAATGATAGATTGTCAAACAAACTTAAGATGTCGTTCAAGTACTATCACATTTACAGATAATTTTAATGTGTCTTTTGATAGAGGAAGAGATATACGCGTGTCACCTGTACTTACTGCTATCATCTACCATGTATGTAAGATCATGTGCTACAGATGACTTGAATAGTGAATGGTTAAATGCGGTTTGAGGAGTGATTAAATATTTATTTTATCATGCCTATATGATGGGTATATAGTTAATTTCTTTAGGACAGAATTAACTCATTTTATACCTAAATGGCCTTTTAAACCGAAGTCAGGCAGATTGTGATGATTATTGACCATGGGGAATAATTTTTTTTACTGTTTTTTAAAAATATTTTTTAATCTGAAGTTTTTAACATTTACGTACCCCCCGCTGAAAGTGGGGGTGTATAGTGATGGGGGTGTCCGTCATTCTGTATCTCTGTCCATCCGTCCGTTATGTTTTGGGGTACGCATCTTTTATCTGCAACTACGAGGGGTTATCAAAAAGTTCGTGGACTAGCGTCATAAAATTAAAACCGCTTTAGGTACACCAATGAATTTTTACACATTTAGTAAGCATCATCTTTTCTATCTATAGAATAAACCATAAATCATAATTTTTATTTTTTAATAAATTGTTAGTGTTTTTGTAAGCAAAGGTATGTCCAGGCGGCGCAACCTCTAATATGACGTTTTTTTCTACCTGAGTGTAACTGAGAAAAACTCTTTAGATATGAGTATTTGTCATCAAATAATCTCGTTAATTCAGGCATGTGGTACGACACATTTGTTCAGTAAAATTTGCAATTTTTACCCCATTCTGTAATTTCTATGAAATTTTATCGTAAATTTTATATGGAGTGTTCAAACAATTATGGGCTTGAAAATAACGTCAAAAAGGGTGAGAGGTTTCTTTTTCAAACACTCTATAGAGTTTCGCTCCTGGAAAAACTGGTATTGACCTAAGGAATGTTTAAACTGGCTACAGAAAAATAAAATGCATCCAGAGTACTTGTTTTTTAATGCCCAAAAAGATTCAGAGAGATGAAATATGCACAGTTAGTGTCGATTTGTAGTCAGGGTGTCAAAAGTCAGTCACGTCGAAAAGTGACGTTGATCATGAATGGTAGAAATTGAACTCCAACAAGCTAAGTATTCTGGCATAATCAAGTGAGGATCTTTCCCCACATAAAGATCCGTTTACAATATTATATGCATTGAAAACAACTGCTCATGACATTGTAAATTCATATAAATAAGACGGGTTTAAGTCCTTACTTAACACCAGGTAATCTCATCAAGATAAGTGTATGAGGTAGAGAGAGCGGACATTAAGAAACAATGACGTTAAACGGACGTCATGACACTAAACGGCGACAGCGCCGGATGATCACATAAAGTCTTTTTAATTTTAGAATAATTTGGCAAATTATCAACGTATCAAGCTAAAATTTTCAACATTTCTTAAACTTTTGTTGTTTTATGTTCCGCATAAATTTTGTAAGCAAAGACTACATATTATTAATTTTATCGCGTCAGTCCACGAACTTTTTGATAAGCCCTCGTATTCTTATACCACTAAATAAAATTTAATGAGACTTTTACAGAATCTTTGTTACATAGTGCCATCGTCTACCTTCTATTTTACTTTTTGATCAGACATATATTTAGGGTTTCCAACAGCAGGACATAGAAAATGCCATTCTTTCTCTAATATTAAAGGGTTATCCATATCTTATTCCCAACTTCTCCTATACCACTGGAAAAAAATTAATGATACTTTCACAGAATCTTTATTACACAGTGCCATTGTGCACCTTCTATTTTACTTTTTGATCGGAAACTTATTTCGGGTCTTCCATTGCCAAACATGGACTTTGTTATTGTAAACATATGGGAGGCAGGGGTACATGTTTCATTTTGTGAGCTCATTCCTCACAGTACCTCAATTTGTGTTAATGTTATAGATGCATTAACTACGAGCAATGATATTACTTCCATTATTCTGTAATTTTATAGAATCCATTGGATCTAACTGCTTAACTTAACACCACATCAAGCAACATACCCATCTTAAGATAAAATTGGCACATTCGTAAAGGTTGAGTGATAAAGGCAGTATGGTATGTCCCAGTAATCAACTTCCTACTTCGTCATGTATAATTTTTGGACTTACCTGGTGATACTCCTGTTAAGACCGGACACATTAACCTTTGGGATTTTGTTTGAGTACCGCCTGAGATGTCCGGATACTCCAGAGAAATGGAGGGAGAATACAGACAGTTACATCTGTCATGGCGACAAGGTGTATCACTGCATGCAGGACCAAGATGGGCGTTATGTAGTTTTCTGTGCACCTAGTATTTGGATTCAACCAGGTGGAAATTTTATAATTTTTGTGTTATACATTAATGTACTAATGATTTATATTCAAGTTTTTACATCGTACCGAGTGTTCCGACAACTATTATTTTACACTATGTGTGCATTTTTAAATATTTTAGATGGTAACTTATCTCGCTATGATATTTATATGGTTTCGCCTTATCAGCTAGTTTATCTGCATATATTTGACAATGTTACACAATAGTTTAATACAAAATGAGCCATTGGTACAAAAACAACTTTGACTATTTAAACATCACAGGATTTAAATCTTTTCAAAAGTCATTCTCATGGTGATAAACTGGTCACAATTTTAAACATTGTAAATTGTATAAAAATACTGTGTATTTAATTGAAAAAAATATGGTCCAGGTAAATATTTTATTACTTCCTTACAGATTACTGTCCGGAATTTAACGAAAAATCTTCCCTGATTGATGTAATCCTGTGTCAGGGGGCCGTGGAGACTTGTCCTGGAAGTATTTACTTGTCAAACACTGTGTATCAATGTAGGTCACACCGTACCTGTTATCTACATCTTCATTTATACGGCGTATATCTTAAGTCAATGTGTTATTGAAGTATAGGGGTCAGAACATGATGATAAATAATAATAAGGTTTGCATTGAAGAATTATAAAAATCTACTAACATATTAAGTTGTCACAAAAATTGCTATACTTTAATCATGCAAGGTCAATAAATTAAAGTATCTTTGTTACAATTTTGTTTTTCTTATATAATTATGGCATATTACTGAAGGAAAATATACGTTGATTTGATATATATGTGCATTAAATGAAGTTTTCTGTTTAACTATATAAATACATGTACGGGTATAATTCTAATAACGTGAAAGATACAATTTTGTGATGCACCTTCGCTTCTTTTTTTTTATGTCGAAATAATTGCATAAAATATCAAACATTAGAAATTTTCACCTATTCAGAATAAAGGTCATATTCTTAGAATACAGAAAACAGATCCACCTCCGTTAATTATGCATACTTATAATAAGAACAGAAGTACATATTCTTATACATGACTGTATATTGTGTAATATTTTCTTTAGTTTCCTAATTGTTTAAAAAAAAAGTTTTTACTCTACACAGATCCAAGTTGCTTTCGAAAAGTGATTACTAGGTAACTATTATAGCATGTTTTTTTTTTATTCCGAATTTAAAAAAAATGCAAGAGATTGTTATGCATTTTAGAATACAGTAAATGTCTTTTTTACTTGTTTTACCTAAGACTTACTTTTTTCTTAGATACACTACAGAATCTCATCCATATGTCAACGGAACAGTGACAGTAGAAAGAAATCCTGGATACAAGTATGGACTAAGACGTTTATTTTATAAAGTCTTAAAATGAATTTTAAAAAAAACGAATTAAATAGCAAACCATCGTCTATTTCAGGAACACGGGACTTCCCAAGCAGGACAGTGGGGAAGAAAGGTAAAAAAAATACATAAAGTTTAAAATTCAGATAACTCTCTTTTCACACTGGGATTAAATCTATAAAGACAATTTTATGCTATAATCAATAATAAACAATGTTGAAATATGATTTTTTTTTAGTAAGGTTTATTATATGATTAAACATGCTCTGAGTATGGTAAATTTAAATTTAAAAAAAAAATGGCAGGGTACTGTCATATTAGTTTATGTTACAGAGTTTTAAACTTTTTAGTTTAAAGTCAGCATTTCGCTAATCCTATGATCGTTGTAATGACCTTGTTTGCGAATAAAACCTATGACTGGGTCGTATTTTGACTGACATGGTTTACACCAGTTTCGAGGTCTTTTTTTAAAATGCCATTTTGACTACGGATTATTTCAATACAAATGGAACAAGACGGTTGTGACCGGTCGACAATGGATGCTTACGCTTGCTTTGTATCTAAGGGTTCTTATTTTTGCCCTTTTTACGATTCGTATTGTTTCCTTGATTTCAATCTAATTAAATCTAGATGTTCCGAATCCGCTATGGTAGCGGATTCGGAACATCTAATTTTAATTAGATTGCCTTGATTTATGAGTTTGATCACCTATCGTTGTCCTCTACTTTTACATTATAACATTTTGTTTTATTATAGAAATTCCAAGGATTCGTTCGTTATAATAGGCATACTTTTGGGAATATTCCTGCCGATCTTGGTTTTTCTGGCCATTATATTTATAGTGAATAGGCGTAAACAGAAAAGAAAGAAAAAAGCCTCTACTGACAGAGAAGGTATTTCATAGTACTCAAAAAAGACAAATTTATTATGAAAAGAATACCTGCCCTATAGTATCCACATTAAAGTTAAACTGAAGACCACGATCTAAGTACATGTAATTGCAATAAATAATTTATTTCTTAATTCAAATTACTAGTTTTAGGAGTACTTGGCAAATGTTCGCCTATTTTTCTTTAAGAAATGGCAGTTTTTAACTAAAATATGAAGTTCATCGTGTAAATTCACATTTCTCTACTTGCCATTCTAAATATATATATGCCGAGAGCCTTCTATATAACACGTGCTTTTCTATTGACTTTTCTCAGCGACTGTTTTGCAGGGTTCAAGCGCGGATCTAGATGGGGGGGGGGGCGGAAACCCCCACCCCCTAATTAGCAGAGTTATTTAAAGTATATACTGAAGCAAATACAAAATGTGAAATGGATTTTGCGGGGGGGGGGGGGTTGCTTGTTTGTTTGTTTGTTTTTTTTTGGTTTTTTTTTGTTTGTTTGTTTGTTTTGTTTTGTTTTCCTGAATCCGCGCCTGGGGTTATTGAACTAATCGTAGTGAATATTGGCAATAAGGCTGAAAAAATACAAGAGCTTGTGAGTACTATTTGTTTTGTTTTGTTTGTTTGTTTGTTAACGTCCCTTCGAGAATTTGTCACTCATATTTAGAGCTAGGCCACCACTTGCCGCGGTTGAGGGCTTGTGCTCGGCAAATACGGCCTTTGAGCAGTGAGGGATCTTTTAAGTGCTTGTACCTACTGCAACATGGGATATCGGTTTATACAGTCTCATCAGAAGAACCGGTCTCCACGTGGCATAGTGGATTCGAACCCTCGACGCAAAAATCGACTCCTTCCGTCGCGACTCTGGAGCAACACACTAACCACTGCGCCATGCGAGCGACTGCGAGTACTGCAGATTTCTTATTATACGCGAGTATTTCATGTTGCGAAATGAGTGTAAGAAAGTACTTTTAATCGGCAATTTAGTAATTTTTCTGACGAAATTACGCGACTACAAATTCCTGGTGTATATTTAGAAATGTATAGTTTTACCAGTTTATAAGTTCTACTGCTACTTTAAATATGCAAATAAAGTTTCTCACAAAATTACGCGACTATGAATTCATGTTGTTTTGAAATGTATAGTTTTCCCAGTTTTTAAGTTCTATTACTCCTTAATTATAGAGCTTTAACAAAAAAATAAAAAAAAAATAAAAATATCTAAAAAATACTTTTATTTAATAAAAAGAAATGTTTAATATTCCTAGCCACAGTTAAAGTATGCAATATGAGCCCATTTTTGAAATATATTCAATATAATATCATTTCATAAACTACAATCTTGCAAAGAAATACCTTCATTACCGTTGAGCAGAACGACAATCCAGCATCATTGTTTACAGCTAGTAAGCGGCGCATTTGATATTGAACAGTCGTGTGTGGAATATTTCGGTTTGTATTTGTTTACGTTATGCAACACCACTGAGCAATAAATTCATAAGATAATATTGACATTCAATAAATATTATGTTCTTTTTTTCTTATGAAAACCATTGTCGTTATCAATGCTTTAACTTTGCAAAACAAACCACTTGAGTAGTGGCTCTTCCATCAATGAAGCATACAATGATGTGCATATCAATAAATTAAATACAATATTAACGTACTTAATCCTCTTTATGTGATTATTATGTAAACATAAATATAAACAATAAGATTTCTTTGTTTGTTTGTACTGGAATTAATGAAGCAGCTATTGCAGAAAAAATGCATAAACCACTAACGCGGGTTTTGTATTTTGGTGCAACAACTACAACATTAATTCCAATACTTACAACCAAAGAGGGGATTTTAGTGTTTAACTGAACGCTGAAATTCTTTAGATCTTAAGTAGTTTTTAGTATAAATGATTTAGAAATATACTAAAATAAAATTTATTGTTGAATTCCGTGCATTTTTTTGTTCCCATTTTGACTTATATTTTCAATAAATAGCATATAAAAGTCGAGCATAGGTTATCTGGATTGATTCTTTTTCAAGAGGTAAACTTGTTCCAAAACTTCAGGAAAGATTATCCCAACGTTTTAAGAAATGTGGACAAACACGATATACTAGAGGATATTTTTCGCATAGACTTCACATACATGCATATGTATATCTCAGCTATTTAGGGGATTTTTTGAAGTGAATGTAAAGTTGATAAAAGAAAACAATTCTGTTTGATATTATAAAATGATAAATTCAAGCACAATGAAGTCAGTTAACCATTTTTCAAGAATTTCGTAAATTAAATGAGAAAAGATTACATGTAAGTGTAAGAATACGATCACATCATTGGATATAGGGTTAAACAGACAGGCACCTGTTCCCACTTCTGGTATTTTCAGGGGCCATGATTGCTCATCTTCGCTAGTCAAGGGTTTCTGATCCGCTACTCCCCTCACAAAGCCTTGGATGAGAAGAGAAGCGGATCAGAAACTATGGAATGCCATAGCTGCCTTATGTGGTTATTTTATGAGAAGATGGTGCTTTATTATGTTATGCTGTGGTTATTTCATGTGAAGATGGTGCTTTATTATGTTATGCTGTGGTTATTTCATGTGAAGGTGGTGCATTATTATGTTATGCTGTGGTTATTTCATGTGAAGATGGTGCTTTATTATGTTATGCTGTGGTTATTTCATGTGAAGATGGTGCTTTATTATGTTATGCTGTGGATATTTCATGTGAAGGTAGTTTTTCATGTGATGGTGGTTTTTCATGTGAAGGTGGATTTTCATGTGAAGGTGGTTTTTCATGTGATGGTGGTTTTTTTATGTGAAGGTGTTTTTTTTTTTATATATATATATATTTAATGTGATGGTGGTCACTCGGAACTCTTATTACTTTTGAAGACTGAGTTTAACACTGAGTTTAACTACTATTATCTTGAAATTTTGAAAGTGAAACAAATAGTCAATATAATTTAAATCATTTTAATACGCCATTGCTAGTTCCTCTTTTTTCCATAGGTGCTTGGTTTCAGGATGGTGTGTTTTGTGTAATATGTTTTTTTTTTTCTAGCTATGTCTGCATTAAGTCGATAACCTATGAATAAAAAAAAATCACTGAAATAAGCAAGTTTTAAAAATGTCATATTACTTTATATAAAAAAATATGGCATGTCAAACGTTGCAATATTCGATCTTTTCCATTTGTATTGTATAACTTTCCATTTGTATTGTATAATTTTTATTTGTATTGTATAATTTTTCATTTGTATTGTATAATTTTCAATTTGTATTGTATAATTTTTATTTGTATTCTATAATTTTCCATTTGGATTTTATAATTTTCCATTTGGATTGTATAATGTTTATTTGTATTCTATATTTTCCATTTGTGTTGTAAAAAAAATCATTTGTATTGTATAATTTTTCATTTGTATTCTATATTTTCCATTTGCATTGTATAATTTCTTATTTGTATTGTATAATTTCTTATTTGTATGCGATAATTTTTCATTTGTATTGTATCCGAGGATTGTTTATTTATTTCGTTACGAAGGATGTCATTGGTCATAAAATTTAGTCTGTATAAAGGTCTCAGGTGCCCATCACAAACTTAGTCTGGTACCCTTCCCACAATTCCGATCGCGCACTCTCTACAAACACAAACTCGGCTCCTCTATTTGCGGTGCATGCTAAGGGACGACCATTTGATTCTCGGGGGATGTCGAATCCGATTATTTATTTTCATTCTCTCGCAGGAGAGAATATTTATTTCCAATATGACCAGAGACAAGGAGAAAAACAAAAAGAAGAAAATCCGCCCAAACCCGAAAACTCAGTTTTTTGGGGGTGGGGGTAGTTACCACCACTCAAGGTCAATTTATTTATTTTCTCAGTCAGCATTCCTAAGGACAGATTATTTATTTGCCATCTACCAGCGCTCCCTTTTTAGAATCCAATGACCGTCTAACATGCACGCAAATACATATGCCGCCGAAATATGGCTGAAATATTGCCGACTCGGCGTTAAACAATAATCAATCAATCAATCAAGCAAATACATATGAGCCCAGTTTGCTTTGAGCATCCGGAACATCTTCAACCCGATACAGGCTGAAACTTGACCAATGAAATCCTTCGTAACGAAACAAATAAACAGTCCGTGGATACAATACAAATGAAAAATTATCGCATACAAATAAGAAATTTTACAATACAAATAAGAAATTATACAATGCAAATGGAAAATTATACAATACAAATAAAAATTATACAATACAAATGAAAATTATACAATACAAATAGAAAATTATAGAATACAAATAAAAATTATACAATACAAATGAAAAATTATACAATACAAATAGAAAATTATACAATACAAATAAAAATTATACAATGCAAATGGAAAATTATACAATGCAAATGCAAAAGATCGAATATTGCAACGTTTGACATGCCATAAAAAAAGAGTGAAGGTACGACAGTTGCAATCTCCGATTTTACGTCGTGCTCGGCTCGGTTCATACTTGATTTTAATTTATCAATATCTACACTTTTCCTACCAGTTTCGGACAGGAATTCGGATGAAATCTACATTTAAAAATGATTGAATAACGCCTTTCAATCGTCTGCCAATTAGAACTTGCCGTATAAAATATGCAGTAAACAAAAACGTCCTGATACCTAGAACTGAAAGTGAAAGCAATGGAGGCGTCCCGGAATAACGAGAACAAGTTTGGCGCGGTTTCTGACTTCCCTAGATTTTCCGAAGATGGCAAGTGTTGTACCCACACTCTTACTATATAGACTAATATGGCACTTTTTAAACGTGCTAATTTCAGTGATTTTTTTTTATTTTTATGTTTTTGAGTTTATTCAGACACACCTACAAAAAAATCATAATACACAAAATACACCATTTTGAACCCAAGTGCCTAGATGGAAAAAGAGGAACTAGCAATGATGTATTAAAATGATTTTAATTACATTGACTATTTGTTTCACTTTCAAAATTTCAAGATAATAGCAGTTAAACTCAGTCTTCAAATATATTAGGAGTTCCGAGTGATCACCATCACATTAAATATATATATATATATATATATAAAAAAAACCACCTTCACATAAAAAAAACCCACCAACACTTGAAAAACCAACCTTCACATGAAAAACCACCTTCACATGAAAAAACCACCATCACATGAAAAACCACCTTCACATGAAAATTCACCATCACATGAAAAACCACCTTCACATAAAAAACCACCTTCACATGAAAAACCATCTTCACATAAAAAACCACCATCACATGAAATAACCACAGCATAACATAATAAAGCACCACCTTCACATGAAATATCCACAGCATAACATAATAAAGCACCATCTTCACATGAAATAACCACAGCATAACATAATAAAGCACCATCTTCACATGAAATAACCACAGCATAACATAATAAAGCACCATCTTCTCATGAAATAACCACATAAGGCAGCTATGGCGTTCCATAAGAAACCCTTGGCTAGCGAAGATGATGTTTGCTTTGCTCTCAATTTGTACTTTTCAGCATGACTAGTGTTTATTTTCTACACATTTCAGTTAATTTATTCGTTTAAAAATATTACCTCCTTTTAGCAAGTTAATTCATCTTATTTTATTTTTTCAAGAAAAAGACTCGTTATTAAAAGATTCAACAATAGAAAACAGTAAAAGAGAAACCAGGAATGAAGGTAATATCAAATTAACGAATCTCAGGAGTGGTGATTATGATCAGGTATTATCTGTGTGAAATATATTACAATTACCCGCATATAGACAGTTCAAATAATATGCCTAATTCTCTATCTAAAAATGTTAAATACTGTATGACACTGATATTTAGAGTTCCTTTTTTAAAAAATTAAAATAATTTTGATTAGATTCTGCTGCATATGTACAATAAGGTACTCGTGAGTTATTTCTCATATATAATATTGTTAACATAATATTAAAAGTTAAAGATTAAATGCATTAAAATTTACTGAATGTCTCAGTAATACCGAATCAGTAAATATCTATGATTTTCTCTACCCAATAGTTCAGTGATCTTTATTTAGTTCCCACCGAGATCAGGAACTGGATTTAAAATTGGTGAAATGTGATTATCTCTCTGGTCAGTCTTCAATCAAATCAAAAAGACAATTAATAGCAAAAACCTGTTAGTCCACATAGACCTAGAAGTCAAATGTTTTTCATTTCTACTTTATCTTTTTAAATGTGTATAATTTGGGGTTGTCTTTTTCGAAGTATGAAATGACATATGAAGTGTTGAGATTCTGGGTAGTTATTATTAAGTAAGTTATACTTACATTTGAAATAAATTATTATACGTTTTAAAACTAAATATATTCATACTCTGTTAATTCATTTCCTAGCATCATTTGTTAAACCGGGGTTCTATGGAAATGCATTAAAAACATTGAAGGAAGACGGGTTTATAATTATTGTTGGTGGGTCAGGAAGCGGAAAAACAACGTTGGCAAACTACATAGCGAAGACAGAATTCAAGGATAATTGTGTACATCACATGAAACCAAAACAAACAGAATTACCAGAATTGTCGATTAACAAAGGTGAAGTAGTTTTGTGGGATGATTGCTTTGGAATATGGAATATTTGTGATTTAGAAGAAAAAATGAAAGTCGGAGTGAGGAATACTATTTTAGATTTAATTGATAGATGTAAAAACAAAGAAAATTACGCCATTATATGTATAGATTCCTTTTTTGATGAATCAGGTATGTTTGATCAGTTAGGTAAGACTGTTATTAGTCTTACCGAGAATTACGACTCATTTTATGAGAGAGAAAAAGTATGCAGATCATTTGACAAAAAGATATACGTGAAAGAAGTTTCTAAGGAAGTAGGATTTCCTCTACTGATTGCACTGATTCTTGAACATCATTGCCCAATCGAAAAAGCCGAAGATTTTATGAAAAATCCAATAGAATATTTACGTTCTAATTTTAATAATCTTTATAAAAACGGAAAGAATCTGTATGTGACGCTTGTTTACGTGTTATGTAACAGTCCATCTGTGAATCTTAAAGAAATAAGATGGAGAAAGTGGAAAAAATTAAGAGAAGAATTTCAGAAAAGCAAGGATGGTGAAAACAACATCTCACAGCAGAGAAAGAGTAATCAGGACTGTCAAGGAGAGGAAGATGATCTTCTGTCTGATGATTCTATGATCATTTCAAGTAACCCAAAAGGTATTGAGATGAATACAACTTTGGCAAAGTACTTGGTGAAAACTGAAGATCCAAACGTTTATGCATTCCGCCACCATTTTCTAGCACATCTTTTCCTTTGTCATCACGTGGAAAAGGTCGGAAATCAAGGAATTTTGGAAGTAGGCAACGACGAGATTAGATCGATTGTAAAGAAATTACAGCCTCCACTGTTCAATTCGACTCCTGTTCAATCTGGAAAAGTGTGAAGTCAAACTTGCTTAAATGTGTCAATTTCTTTTAATTATAAAATATTTTTTTCAGTATTTGTTCACGTTTAAAGAATTTTATGCATGTATATATATCTAACATTACATTATTAATAAAGAGTATATATGTGTTATAATCCATAATATAAATTAGGATATTCAAAGTGGCAAATGAATAAATCTCAGGCAATCTTAATGCCTTTGATACTTTGGATACTCTTAGGAGTTTTGGTAGAAAGCAACGATTAAATCAATGGTAAAGAAATAACTATCCCCACTATCCAATCTTACATCTGTTCAATCCACAATTGTACAATACATAATATATAAATTTGCTGTTAATATGTATATTTTAAGATTTTTATGCATCTAAATATTCAACTTTATACTAGTGGTATAGAATATATCTGTTTTATATTGCACAATCGATATTATTAATATGTTTTTACGTACATAACTGTTATAATGTAAAAGGTAAAGATAAAGAACAGTGATCGATCTCATTTGCCATCTTGAAATTTGTACTTAGTATGTAATAGAGCAAACAACTTTACCGATTTTATATTTTGTATTTATACCTGTAGATAAATTTTGGCAAATAACATAGTTTGATCAGAAGTATTACCATCATCAAATAAATACTATGTATAACACTGTATCAGTTAAATTTAAACATGACGTAAATTAATTAAGCGATTAATCCTTAAGAAATGGTGTAAATATTTAGCGAAAAATAATTTTAACAATATTATAAGACAGTGAAAGGTAAGTCTTACTTCCAGTGCAAAAATAAATCTTTGCGATATTCAATTTAAGAGAACTTAATTACAATCACGCATATTGCAAAAATTGAATCCTAGTTAAAAAAAAATTGCTTATAGGATATCATTTTAAGCATCAATAGTAGTAAGTAATATATGTTAAGCTGTATTTTTAGTCATACACATGCAGAGTGCCGATGCATGACTGCTTTCTAAGTTTATTATAATTAAATACAAATAAAGAAATGAAAAAATCCGTTTAAATTGAGTCAGCAGAGTTATTTGTTCAGATATCATTTTGTTGATTAGAATTAAAAACCAAAAACAACTCGCCCTATTTTAAAAACATAAGTTTTGTATTGTAAGTAATTTCTTAATTTATGAACTTATACATGCAAAGAAAATCCTTGTTGAGCTACACTGAGTTATCATTCGTATCTAAATATCCAAGCTAAATATAACAAAGTTCTTTACCTTTGCTCAATGAGGGTTGTAAAACAACGGCATGCTAAAAACTAGACATGTCATTAAAACTCAATTAATGAAGCATTTGGTTAATTGCTTGCATATTAAATATAGTCTTTCGGCAGTATTAATAGCAGATATCATATCCAAAGATATGTAATAGGTCCCGCCTCATCAGGGAAACCTTATGCACACAATAAATCTATCTGAATTATTTCATTTGATTTTAATTATGATCTAATAATCAGATCTCGTATGTTCTTGTGTTTACTGTTTGTTAAGAAAAAAATACAAGACCAGGATTCAAATGCATAAGAATCTTAAAATTTTATTAAGTATCTACTTAATTTTCTTAAGCAATAAGTAAAATGCTCAATTTCCATTGCATAAAACTTTCAAGGAATATGCTTGCAATTCTTACCTAAGCAGATCCAAATCTGCCTAAATATATCGTTGCCATGTCAATAAAGTCACTTCCGCTTTTACTACTAATTTTTACTAATAATGTAAATGATGTAATATAAAAAAATATACATAGTGAAGAAATAAATTATGAAAATTTAATTCATTACAATTTTAAGGTTTAGCCTTACCGTTAAAACGCCTTTCTCCAAAAAATTGTTGAAACAAGCAAAAATAAAAAAAAAATAAAAAAAATAAAAAAAAAATTAAAAAATTAAAAAAAAGAACATACATGTATCAAATAAATGGATCTACACACACAACCTGTCTTCCAATCAACTAACAGTTGATCTGTGTTTTGGAAGGGGGGTCTTAAGTCATTCTTAGTCTTTAGATTACTTTATATATTCAATATGTTACTAAAAATTCTAGAGACGGGGTTTGTACCGCCCTGTTAAGCTATTTATTAAATCAAAATACATACAATAAATAAGTTACTTAGTATATCATGACCTAAAGCTCGAAGTCTATAGACTATATATTTTGTACATATGCAATCTTGACTTGCGAGTTTACAGCGCCACTACTGTCAGTTTGACGTCTTTTCTTCCAAAAGGAGGATAATAAAGTTAAAGAAGGGCACATGTGCATTGTTAAACTCAAAAAATACCTTTCCTACGATTGATAAGTAGATTGATATAGTATAAAAAAAAAAAGTCAGCACACAGTATAATTTATTGAATGAAATATGCTTTTCCAAGTCTATTCTAATATCAAGATGGTTAAGTATAATGAAAGTTATTAAGCGCATTGGTAAAATGATTACGTGCAGTGAGTTTGAATTACAATAAATGTTTGTATTTTGTTCTCATGAATATATTTTTAAATTCATAAAATAAGGTGTATCCAAAATCTGAAATTAAAAAAAAGAAGTGAAATCTTAAAATAGAATTACGTTAACTTTAAAAAAAAAAAAATCAAATTTCATCTATAGTATATTCTGATGATCGAAGGAATTCCAATTCATTTAGAATTGCTCATCCTGTTGGTTTGTTTTGTTTAAATGGTCTTAGATTTATTAATATTCCTCTAATTATTAATTGTCATCTCTCGAGAGAGATGACACATTAAGTTTGTAACCCCGGATAGGAAGCCCCAGTGTAAGTTGCCATTGATAAGCTGGTGGTCTGGCAAATGACACGATTTCTAAATATAGAGATGTAAACAAAACTGCTTAATGACAAAGAATTGGCGATCTGTCAAACAGGCCATCTTAAAAAAGAAAAACTACACATAAATCATAGAGATTCACAGAGAGAATATCGCTTGGGTAGTGGTGGGTCTTCAAAATACATGCAGTTATCTAATCATGGTCACTGCGTGTGTATCGGAATGCACATGGCATCGATTAGAACGGCCAAGGCGTGGATCAAAGTATTTACAGAAAAAACAAAGTGGCGGGTCTTCAAATAACATGCAGTTATCTAGGCTGTTACGTAAATGATGGCCAGTGCGTGTGTATCTAAGTACACTACATGGCATCGATTAGATCAGCCAAGGCGTGGATCCAAGAATTTACAGAAAAACAAAATCAAAGTAAATACTCGCATTAAAAGTTTAAATACGACTGATGTGAATATTAAGTGATGTCAGAAATTTTACCTTTATGTGTATCTTAGTCATTCAATAACCTGATGCCATTTTTTAAAATAATTTTTTTAAAACAAAAAGTTAATGTTCAAACTACAGGCATTGGAAGAAAGATTATATAATCATTGTGAGTTTTTACGCATGTCTGCACTATTCTTTGTTTTTTGTTCTATAAAAAAATACATGTCAGAAATACAATATTGTTACCTTTGTATAAAAGACGCAATTTCTTTACCCGACTCGTATTTTGAGAATTTATAATTAAAGCACCTGCAATCATTTTCTTTGTGTAATTTTAAATTGCATCATTGGTTAGTGGCAAAAAAGCTATCAAATCACTTCTCTTATTCTTGAAATATTATTATATAAAATGATTATTTCCTTGAACAGCCTAAATATCAGGGCTGGTAAATTGGTACTCTTTCAGATAATTTGTTAATGCCTAATTTTAGCTTATATATTACTGACCTATATTTAAATGCATGTGAGGGTTATTTCATTGGATAAACCACATATTTAAAAGTGGAAAATCTTTCGAAATCAATTGAGGGTCAGTATCGTATAGTGAGACTTCCCCAAAGTGAGATTTCCCCGGAAGGCTGGCTATATAGTGAGATATCCCCCGGGAAGACTGGCTCTATAGTGAGACTTCTCCCCGGAAGATCGACTGGCAATAGAGTGAGACTTCTCCCGGGAGGTCTCACTATATAGCCAGTCTCTCCCCCCTTTCATAGTGAGACTACCTCTCAAATGTAGTTTCCGGAATATTTTATTTCATTGTTACACAATATTTTTCAGTATATGAATAAAAGTTCTCCGTTAATTAATAATTAAAACATCTTAATAGCCTTTTAACAGTTTGTTAGCCAAAAATAATTATGGGATGACATGTACATGTATATTGATGTGAGATAACTGAATGAAAAATGCACGTTATTGTTACAAGTATACATCTTTCTTCACTATATTGTATTTATTGCATTCCCCATGAAGGTTAACATAAGCAAATTCCAAGAGTCCACGAGTAATGATCTCTTAAATGTTAAATGTATTTGTTTTGATAAGAATCATTTTGGAACAATTCAATTATTTACTGTGCACGATAAATTTTTAATGCGCACTTCTATATTTATTCATACATGTATCTATTTTATAAGATCATTATCAAAATGAAAATATATATTCATCGTCGATGTAAATAAAATACTACTGAACATGGAAGGGGTCGTTTAGGGGGGAAGACTCACTATATAATAATTCTCCCCCCCCCCCCCCACCGGGGAGTCTTACCGCTATATATAGCCAGATTTCCGGGGGGAAGTCTCGCTATGGGGGGTGGGAGTCTCACTATATGACACCGGACTAATTCAAGTTAGCGCTTTAAACTTCTTGGCTGTTGTCCGAGTAAGCTGCTGTGATGTAAAGTCAATAGGAACGCTAAGGTTTTGCCCATCCTCTTGTATAACAATTATTTTACAAATTTTACGAATACTGCTTAGTGGTACATTTTTTAAACACATATACAAAAAATATTTGAAATTACTGTTGCAAATGTTCACTGAAAGGCAGCTTACCTCTACCTTCCCCACATTTTTTTGTTGCAGCATATTCATACCCCCCCCCCCATGTGTCTTCGAGAGAGTCAAAAATTTTAAATCTTCCCTCCCATCCACGAAATAAAAATTTCGAGTTTGAACACCCCTTTTTTTCCTAGTGAAAGATTATTCAGGTAAATTGTAATTTTTTTTCTGACTACCCCCCCTTTTTTTAAGAGTTCTTCTGCTTGTAATTGCTGAGGAAAAAATGTTACATTCCACTATTTATTCTGTGACATTAATGAAGCCAAAGAGATGACATTT